TGTATGAAGAACGCTAGAATTGTAACAGCGGCGAAGCGAGTGCCCCGCGACAGCCGCGTGCGGCAAATCGATCACCCAAAACCGATCCTACTGTCCGCCTCCCCCCACCATAACATCGCTATCGAAATCGGCTACTCGCTATTGTGTGCATCTTAATCAAAATTTGCAATATTCAGGACTATTGGATATGCATTTTGCCAACTTCCCTGCAATTTTTATCGGAACAACCAAATTCTCGTTTACCTGCAACCCTGATTCTTCGCTTCCAGACAGGCATGCTGGCATTGTTGCACACTGACATCCTCGAGAGTAACGACAACTGCTCCGATCAGTGTATGATTGCGAATTCGTTCGAAGCATTCAAGCTTCAGTGCCCACGAGATGGTGGGAAGAAAAATCACGAATAATATGAGCATTTCTAAATTCAGCTGAGATCGTCGCTACCCCATAGAATCAAGGATACGGTACAAGGTCATGAGAATCGCAAACAGAGACCTAGACTCACACAAAGTTACAAACGAGTTGCGGCCTTCTACAAAAAGATTTCTTCGAGATGGGTTGGAAAATGGAGTCATAACTTCGTATAATTGAGTTTACTCAAGAGATTCAACCGAAATTTGTGATTGCAGGTGAAACCTATGAAAGTTCGAGAGACTAGCCGGCCACCGGACCGTCGAAAGAAATCTTCAGCAGGAAATTCGAATAGAAATGAATGCATACTGAGAAAATGGATACACTGATGAGCCTTCCATCTTGAACCACCAGAATACAGGTTATACGAATCTATGTGAACAAGCAAGGCCTCTGTACTCCCCATCGAGCTTTGTTTGCCTATTCCCAACATCCCCAAAACTCGCTGAACGGATAGACTAGTCGTCCATCCTTTTGAATATGTTATGTACCCAAACAGGATGTATACATAGCTATATTATAGCTCCTGTAGACCGGTTATGGACAAACCTGCAACATACGTTTTCCCAAATATATGTAGTTCAGTTAAATTGGCCCATCAAAAACTTCTGAACCTGTTTGGCATAGTTGTAGTTGAAGTTGCAAGTTACATCTGAGATATTCTATACTTCAGCCGCTTGCTTTCAAATTTCGTACAGACTTCGCGAACAGACAGAGGTGAGGGATGGACTAACACATGCAAACCCTGGGGATCGAATTTAAGGCGCATTCAAAGCCATCTAGGACTCTGAATGGAATTAGAATAGGGGGCGTATCCCACAAGAGCCTCAAAAGATTGAACCCTTGTCTCTCAGGCCTTTATAAGCTCGATATAACCCTTCAGAGGTGCACTTTCACCATGATCTCGGCACAGCTTATAACGACTGCCATATCTAATAGAGCAATTCATACCTATTACGACTGGCACTAACAACGAGCTACAGCCTACCGTATCGCTTATAAAATGTGAATAGGAAATAGTAATACTAGTCGTTGAGCATAGGCGTATTGTCGGCGACGAAGCTAGTGCATTAGGTATGCGTCGTGCCAGCGCTTTTTACCTAATATAGTGTCCTTCTGCTAAGTTTCCAATCCGGTCTCTTCGCATACCTCCTCGACCTTGCCTTCCACTTCACGTCACTCACCTTTTTCCGCATATGCTCACCTCATTGCATTTGCAGGGCTCTTCAAGTAGTGCGAAGAATACGATGAAACAACAAAGAAGAAAAGAATAGAATCACTCCGTCCGACGTGCCATGCACTCGACTTTCATTCGCGATCACCGGAGCATTTGTGTGCTTTTTCGAGCCAAATAGTTTTCTGACACTTCAATCCCCACAGACGACTCCACTACCCGTTAGCCTACAAAACGTTTCTTTCGTACAACCCCTGCTGGCTGTGAATCCAAACAAGCTCTTTTTGAAATGGACTTCATCGATAATTCAAGGGGATGGCCATACTCTTCGTATAGCGAACAAAAAAGGCATTTTCAATATCTGCGACCATTCCAAACCTATATTAAATAACTCAGAAAACACTGAAAGTCATTAGATTCATTTGAAAAACTACCCTAACAACAATACAAACTTAATTACATCTTTACCGAGACATAAACGAGCACTAGAAATCTAATAAACGGCTGTAACAAGCTGGAATCTATGAACAAGTGCCTGTTTCCCGAAAAGGTTCCTTCGCTAATTTTCTACGCATGCAAATGTAGTCGGGGAGTTTCTACATACGGGTTTTCCTGAAATTGATGATTGTGACACTATTTATAGTCAATAGTGGCAACCAAGCAGCAACTGCCCACCTGATCTTTAAGGGCAGCCCTTTTTGCTTGTGCCATCGTTGCAGAATTACGAGAAATCACGTTGGTGATATAGAAATCTGCCAATACTTTCTGTTTCGCTGTCACATCCACATCAACGGGACCCGGCTGGAATAAATTCTGAATTCTCGCTTCTGAAGCTTCCGATCTTCACTGATTTTTGCTTACCGTTGAGTTGGCCAGTTGCAAACCTTGCTTGAGATAATTGCATTCCTCGATGTCACCAAGTCGTAAAAGATGAGGGGCTATCTATAATATGCTGTTGAAAAATGGGTACAGCCTAGCAAACCGCAGCATGTTCAAGAGCCCGAGTTTGAAAGAAATGAGCCTTGCTCCAAATTCCATATTTCCAATCAACACATGGACTTCACCTCAGATATTCTGTGACGCAGCTGCTTAAGATCATCATAGGGTAACGTTTTTCCAGCAACTTCCGAAATAGCTCTAATAATTTTCCAATCCACGCGAGCTTCTCCAGGGGGAGTAACAGCTGGAAGGGTCCTGAAAATAAATATTATCGGAAATCACATCTAAATATCGTAATGGCAGCCAAAAATTTAGAAAAAAAAAGAATGAACAGAGGGAATTATAGATTAGTAGCCAAAAATGTTATCTAATCACCACAGTGAAAAAAATAAGCCGTTAGTGGCATTGGCAGCCAGGTGCGAGCTTCTCACAGATGTTAAGTACATTTCTACCTCTGAGCACGTCCTTCTGTGTTCACGAATATTCCTTCTTTTTCTGTGTAGGCAGCTCCTGGTAGAATGACATCTGCCATTTCAGCTCCGGCGTCTCCATGATGCCCTTAATGAATTGAACAATGAGGAATGAAAAGAGTCTTCTTACAGCGAAAATAAATTGCCCCAGGACTGTTTTAAGTCGCAATAGTCGACTCAAATATCGGTTTACAAGCCATAGCGAGCTATCACAAAGAAAATCTGTCACCAACATGTTCCTCCCGAGACAACTAAGAAACCACAAATCAAGTATTCTAACCTTGGTACACGACAAAAGCGGACGGGTCGAGATCCTGCCGAGTGACCTTGCCCTCATCTGCTCCCAACAAATACAGGAACTTAATTGGCTTCTTGCGGAGCGCTGCTGTGCCTGCCTATAAAGATCAAACATCACAAAGGGCTACGAAACTCACAAGGACAAGTACGTCATTGAGAGACAACATGTGCACTCACAATCGCACAACTTCAAATCACCTGATATCCAACATCCAAGGCACCAACTTGTCCAGCCCAACGATGTAACACATTCACTACCTTTCTTGACTTATCACAAGGTCCACTTGAACGGACTTTATCAGCCTTAAAAATTAATCCGGAACGTTTCATGACGGATAAGTATAAAAGACGAAGTGGTATTTTGTTCTTGCACAAATCTGGGTCTTTTAGTTCAACGAATTTACAGCCTGACCAACTGGCGAAAACGATGATGATTCGAGTATGGATTACTTACGAAGAAGGCTTCATGCACCAAAATGTAAGATTAGGATAACTGACCAGTTGTTGAATTTTGGCAAGCACCTCAGCTCCCTTAGCACCTTGAACTGCATCTGAACCGACGATGATCATTGGGTTTTTGGCGGATAAAAACTTCTGGAAAATCAAGTACTTGCCCTGGAGACTGCTTTACACGGTTTCTTAGTAAAAGCAGTAGGCAACTAAACAACAAAACAACAATGGACTCATCGCTCACCTTCGCGAAAGGAGTCTTTCCAGCAATAACATCATCTAGTGCCTTTGCATTGTTGCCAATATGCTCATAATCATATGTCAGGTCAGCATCGGTACCAATCACACCAATTTCAATATCGGTGTTGAGGTAACTGAAACGTAGAAGAGTTCAACATAAATGCCTCTAATAAAAAACCAGGAAATTTTCATAGCGTTACAACTTACGTCTTCCTTATTCTGGCGTTTAGAACCGGAGCTTCATATCGAGGGTTGGTACCGACAAGCAGCAGTGCATCAGTATTCTCGATACCAACTATGCTGTCATTCATTACATAGTTCGATCTAGAATATAATTACACTAAATGCAGCACTGATACAAGAAACACCTCTCAGCTCAGGCTATATAAGCAGCCCTCTAACAATAAGGTATAGAGCTATCCGAATAAGATGTCCACTACTTTACATGAGCTGTGGGGAAAAAAACTCAAGAGAACCCGTTTGACCTGTATTTCAGCTAACCTTGGTGATCTAATTACAAAAAAACTCCAATTCGAAAGTAAACACACAAACGGAGAAAAAACAACTATTCAAAAAGCATTCGCCTTCAAGGAGTAGTGAACACCCAATCCGACGAACGATACTGGAGGTGACTGTTTGAGCAGAGGATGTGATCGAATAATCGATAAACAAAACCTCAAGTCAGACGTTGCTGGGAACTCTTCTTCGGTGCAAACGTTTTCGCAGTTGAAACGATTGAAAAGATCCTTGAGTGCCACCAACGACTCTGAAATTAAGTGGTATGAACGGTCAAGATCATCTTTTTCATTCTTGAAATTCTAGACCACTAAAAAAGTGGAAAAAATGTAAAGCAAAATAGGGAGCATGATATCAATTCGCGAGGCTTTTCTCTGAATGAAGGAAGATATCGCCGAGAATAATCAGGCATTAAAAGGCGACATCGACGGGTTCTCTGCACCAAAAACATGCTAATCCTAATCTAATGGCATCTAGGAATTACCTAAGCATCGACAGCCCATATTAAAGCCAGCCCATTATTAATGATCGTTATTTATCATCACGAGATTAATTCTGTTGTAAATATGGCGTATACATATAATGTGTAATATGGCGAAATTGTGTAATATGACGTATGGAATTCCCCTGTCATGAAAACTGAACCAAGGCGCCTACCAACATCATTGAGACCTCCGACTACAGCAGCTTTCAGCTCCGCAGGAGTATCACGGAATTGTTGGGCAACAACGAACAATGTTTCTTCCCATGAGGCTTGTCTGAAGAAAAACGATTAATTAACCGGGAGAAGTTCATTCAGCTACAAAATTACCTCATGACACCATGCTGGTCTTTCATCATGGGAGACATCAGTCGCTGGACTTTAAGCCCATCAATAGCCCAACGCGTCTTGTCACTAATCCATTCTTCGTTGACATCCTGAAGCACGGAAATTTTCAGGGAAACACGATACTTATAAATAGCTCTTATGAGAGAGTGCAAAATATAAATTAAATTCATTTGCACTTACATCATTCATCCTTGGAATAACACGAAGTAATTCGCCAGTTCTATGTGATAACACAATATTAGACCCTATCGCGTCCATAACGTCGACACTTTCTGTTTTGCGAGTTTCCCATGGTCGAGCAGTAAAGCTATACATATTAAAGATCATTATAGTTAGTCGCAATATGGCTTCAGAAAATGCAAGACAGTTTTGGTGAAAATTCATAGATATTCTTGAGTTACCCACTTACAAACAAAGACCCACAAGACAAGAAATGAAGATTCACCTGTATGGCTTGCTTGTGAGGGCACCAACAGGGCAAAGATCGATAATATTTCCTGACAATTCAGAAGCAAAGAACTTCTCGACATAGGTACCGATCTGAAACTACTTAGGTAGGAATTCTCAACCACATTTATGAAACGCACAAATCTATAGCACACAAGCCAAACTGTAATTTCCTTATATAGATATAAGGAAATTACAGTTTTATTTACGGCTATCGAAATAGGTACAAGACGCCTCCATCAATACCGGCAAAATATTATGGAAGGGCAGATACAGCTAACATCACATAAAACATTCACGTACCTGCAGATCATTTCCTCTTCCGGTTGTGCCGAAATCGGGGAAAGCGGCGATCTGAAATATCCGAATAGAAATAGTAGATAAATAAATAAATATTGAAGTAGTTTTATCACCTCATTTGCAAATCGAACACAACGTGTGCATTGGATGCAACGGGTCATTACTGTTTTCACAAGCGGGCCGATGTTTTTATCTTCGACAGCTCTAAAAAGTGCGGTATTTAAAGAAAGGTTGAAAGAGCACAAACAGGTAATGAAGCAAGGTCCACCTTTTCCCGTCATACGTGGCTATAAGACGACCACGATCGCTTCCAAAAGCCATGGATTGGTCTTGAAGGTCACATTCACCTCCCTAACACAAACCCACATGGTAATATCGTATCATATATTAATCACATTCAACATCGTACTAGAAAACAACCAACCTGGTCACAAATTGGACAATCGAGGGGATGATTAACGAGGAGGAATTCCATAACTCCTTCTCGTGCCTTACGAGCCATTTCGGAGTTGGTTTTAACCTTCATTCCTTTCATTACTGGCATTGCGCATGACGCTACAGGCTGAATAATGGCAATTTCGAAAAGAAATCCTTGAAAAGCTTTCAGTGTTAGAATACCTTCATGCTCTTCTCAACCTCAACGAGACACATTCGACAGTTGCCGGCAATTGATAGGCGATCATGGTAGCAGAACCGGGCAATGTCTACACCTACCAAAGCACATGCCTAAATACATTAGTATCGAAGGGATTTATACCAAAACGCAAATTTTATGAAATATCCCCATAGCACGGACTTTAGTTAAAGGGCGTTACATTTACCTTGAAACTTACTTCTTTCAAATTTCGATAAATAAGTGTTGATGCAACCACAAGAACCAAACTATATTATTACAGGAAAGACAAGCAAAAAACCCTTCTCACCCTTAGAAGAGAGCCGTGAAGTTAAAAATGGGGTATTTTAAAATTTATGCACTCAACCAACATCCTTACAGGCGTTGAAAGACACAACAAAGTCTATCTCATCGAAAATGCCCTTTCTGAATGGTTGCAGAGGGCGAACCTGTAAAATTGTTAGTCCTGGATCTACAAGTACTTTCTTGTCGTCAATAAACACTTCGATCTTCTCTGGTGCAGCTGCAGTCGATTGTGCTCGTCGGCATGCGGCGCTACCGACGCGCACCGCACGTGCCACCGAGCCAATGCGGTGCATAGCCTAGAAAAAACATTGAAAATTCTGTCACCTCAGAAGAAAAAGCTCGTCAATGCATTGAAACACTAATCTGGTAACATAGCCAATACGAAAACAGCAGAAAACCAAGATATTAGAATTTATTAATTCTTATCATCACCCAAGTAATACGATCGGATGCAAGGAACAATCTATATTTAATATCACAGATATATGATGTGTACACAGAGACAGAATGAAGGGGAGCTAAATAGTAAGCGTATTGAATAGGAAATTGACGTTATTTCTGAACCAGCACCGCAAGGAACAACTAAAAACAAATTGTATTTGAAATGATTATCCAGAGGCGTAATACTTATACATGAACGCATTACTAGGTTCCATTGACTTAATTTGAAGTTGGCTCTACCTGCCCCATTACGATATCAAACCTTAACATAGGTAGGTATGATAGGAGTGGCAAGGAACTCACCATCAAAAAACTTCTATGAGCCTTCACGAAGGAAACCATCAAAATTTTCGAAAATGTCCCGATAGCAAGTCCAATATAATTTTGTTTTGGAAATAAATATGCATCAACATAATATAATTACAATACATTGCCAACCAACACTTAGTTACAAGGAAACAGGAGAAGTTCAAAGGGAATTGTAGTGAATCAGACCCTTAAATAGAGTTTCCCACACCATCAACGGCAACACGGATATTTGGGTTGTTCATGGGATCGAGGAGTGGATCATCCTCCGCTCCAATGCCAACTCTTGTCAGCACCACAATTACAGTCACAAGAACAAAAACGAAGAAAAGGAAAACGAGCAGCACTCGTTTACATCCGCCGAGCTGAGCTGGAGGCGCATTTCCATACTTTGCTCTAGAAGTCGAAATTAGAAATACACACGGAGGAGAATAAGAGCATGAATCGGGAAACAAAGCGAAAAGTTGATTCATGACTCACTTCCAGATCCCTCTCAACCATTCCCTAGCTGGCCTTCTTTTGTACTTATTTTGTTCGCTGTCAGCATCTCGATCAGTAACCCTTGAAAGGAGCGGCTGCATGTCGGAATCAGAACCGGCATGCTTTTTACGTGCTAAAATCCGCACAAGATGAACTGAAGCATTACACTAGAGCACGAATCAATTTGAGAAAAAAGATACTGGCCATGGATTCTCAGAAACATACTCGCGACGGTTCTCTTTTAAAAGTCCACTATATTCAATTACATCGACTTTCAACATGAACCCTCTAATTCACTCTAATACAGTACTAATCACCCATAAATTTCGTATAATCTTTTAGTGTAGCAGGGCATAATCACCAACCTTTTTAAGCTCTCCAGGTATGCTGTCGTTCACTGATTAGAGCATAATCGATAAATTCAACAATGAGAAACTATTAAAGCAATGGGTTTTAAGGACCTAGTTGGTCCAGTCTGGATTAAACTGCATGAACGATGAGCAATACGTAGAAAAACAGAACGTACACGTGAACGTCACTTGTTCCTTGCTGCCGGAATATGCAACTTCATCCATATCCAGGGCTACATCGGGCGTTGCTGTATTTGATCTTAATTTCATAGAATGATCAACTGCCCATCTCTCTCAAAATACCCAAAAAAAGTTTGAAAGGTAATGTGTAATACCTATTCGCTGCAACATCATGAATATGCGTTGTGAACTGCCCACCATTGGCCAAATCAGTGACACCGCGCTGAGTTGTTTGCGTCATATTGGAACCAGCCATATGAGGGTACTGCTGAGGAAGCATGAGAGGAGGATTCAATTCAGGGAGCTGGAAGAGAGGGATAAGTCCCATGAAAAAACAAATAGACAAAAGAAATTGATGTAAGGATGAATACAAACCAGTGGTAACCCCAGCCCAGCTCGAGCCCAATTAGCCTGTTGAAGCTTAGTTCGGAGCTCATCTATCATTGGAGAAGTTTGATTTGCAGCAGGAAATAAGGCCTCTCTAAAGCAGCAAGTCGTTCGCATTAAGAAAAAAACTTTCGCGTTCAATGATTAATAGTACCGCTACATATAAAAAAACATACCTGCAAAATGGGCAACAATATCCAGCTGGTGCAGTAGTGGCTGGAAATCGTCGAGCCCATTGGTCAAGACATGACCAGTGAAATAAATCTACAATTCAAATCATGAAAAGGATGTGAGTCAAACTGACAGTTGAGGAAATTGCTTACGAAGGCACTGAAGACGGATGGTTTCAGCATCAGCAAGAGGCTTTTCGCACAGGGAGCAATTCGTGTCGAAGTCACAGTCAGTTAGCCACTGGAGATAGCTTTGAACGACGCACTAAAGAGCATACATATATTAGAAAGACAAACACAAGAGCGGAGGCTTGTTTTTCGTTTTCTCTAGTAGAACTACGCATTATCGGAATCATCTTTCAGCTTACGAATTAGATTATGCTCAACGAAAGGGTGGTTTTACAAAGCATGATCAAAAACTCGGTGTCCGAACTCCTACCCTACTGCTAGCCATCAAAAATTGTTGATCTAACACCTAATTATAGAATAAAGCTTGAAGTTTGTGATTATCTTTATGATTAGTATTGTACGTCAAGCAGAATGAGGACATGAAGTGATTCCAGATACAAAGTGAATCCCAGTTCCTATAATAAAGACCACGACACGTGGGCGGACAAACCACTCAAACTCAAAACCCAGACTGTGCTCGTCTTTGCGCAACCGTTCTATACAGCTGAAGATTTGAAGATTTTAAAAAATGCAAAAAGACCTAAAAGTCATTTCTGGAACCTCTCACACCATTTATGCGCTACAAAAACGACCTTGCTTTTTATGCTACTCTTGGATTAAACCAAGTAAAAGTAAACATACATCGTGATGGTTCTCCACCAAACAGTGTTCGCAGACGTTTACCCTGTGCTCAAAACAGAACAGATTCGTGACCTTCTTTCTGGGACATTTGCATAATCCCATTTCAACTGAAACAAAAAACTATTGAATAAGCACTAAACGCTGAATGCTTCCTCTCTTCTTCCCACAACGCATAGATCCAGTTGAAAGTCGAGCCAATTTTCTTGATACATGTCAAGAAGATAGGGATTACCAAAGAAACTTGACTATAGGAAAAGAATCATAACGGAAGAGATGTGATAACTATCGGCCACACGGAAGAAATAAGCTGGCTTTCACAGCCACACTGATTCATGTGCAGGCAACTCGTTTTAGGACCCGCAAAATGCTATGACGTCATCTTGAATTCTTCAGCGCGCTACGTGTAAAAATTTTTCCTTTATTGGATTTTATTTTCTTTTTGGGAGGATTTGTGGTCATACTCGTGAACTGTGGATTTTTCTTGAGAAGATCAAGCTCAAGCATCGTTTTTCAGATGGGGGCGCAGGGCAGTAAGATAAATTTTCGGCAAGCTGTTATTGATCTCACATCGAAACACGGGAAGCAGGTTGGTAAATATTTACTTTTGTTTTTCACCTTTTGAATTTCCATGAAAGACGCTCTGACATTTTCCTTCCTCCACTCTTCTTCCATTTTGGGCTACTATTGGTTTGATTACTTTCTACAGGATGTTCTTCTTCTCTTTGTTAATCTCTTACGGTGTCTGCTTGTATCTACTCAGATTCTGTAAACAACTGGATCATAGCTTATATAACCTTCAAGTTTCCCAATAGAAGAGGTGAGGTTAGCCAAATTACTTTTTATGGTGTCCGCCTATAGTTAAACTTTCCCGTCATCGCTTAGCGAGGCTAACGGCTGTCATTAAAGTGGGAGCAGGGGCCGCAATAGCGATGATCAGGTCATGCATTCGGTTTTTTTACTGCTAAGCTTAGGAGGAACACTTCTTAGCTCTTTACCATTCAAGTGGATGGTATTGGCGAAAAATACTGGTTTCCTGCAGACTTCTCCCACGGTTTGTCTTGCTTTTGCCTTTGTGTCAGTAAATAGTTCTTGCTTACTCATCGGGCATACTCATCAATGAATAAAAGTCATGGTTGCGAATAATGTTGTTATACAGGCAACTTTAGAATGATGAAGCTTTTTGGGAGCAGCTATGGTCTCCGGAAAATGTTCAAAGTGTCAATGATGTTTTTGCCATGATTCCAGCTGAAGACATAAGGAAACTGAGGTGCATATTTTTCGTCGCAACACTTTCGTATATGTAGCAGTTGGTTCTGTGTTTTACACTACTTTTGTAATTGTTCAGCTTTGATTCAGAGAAGACTCACCAAAAAATCTAGCTACGTTGTGCTATAAAACTTTGGAGAAACTACAACATGCCAGAGATCATCCAAATGAGTTGTCAGAAAGAAAGGTGAGTATTCGTTCTTCGCAATATATCACCCATTCGAGTTTATTCTTATATGATAACCAAAAAAATGACAGGTTATTAATTGCGTGCGACTGTTGACTCGGCTAATGCCCTACATGTTTGAAGATGCGGAATGGAGAGGTTACTACTGGTCCTCAGTGCCTTCTGTGAGTTTAAACAATGAAAATTAATCCCTACGGTTTCCTTGTAGAGTTTCTTTTCTTTTTTTATTTTCAAGGGATGCACAGCTTTTTGCAACAGCTTATTATAGCTTCAGGGAGATGGAACGGTGCCAATGGCTAGTGTACTTTTGGGTATTCTCGGTGACCTCCTATTCTGCCCAGGCTTCACTGTGGGAGGAGTCAAAGTGCGAATTATCTTCATCTTGGTTCTATGTGTCTTCGCTGCTTAGAAATCTGTCACGTGATCATGTATTTTAAGGAGAAGGTCACTGATTTGTCTTCCCTCGAAACATGTGAGCTCATATGGGAGGCTGGAGTTGGTTTTGCAAATAAACCTGTATCAAGCGCCCAGCTCGACCAAAATCGAACTGAAGTTCTAAAGTTGTTGTTAACATGCTTCTCGGAAGTAATCTATGCTCCTATAACAGGTATTCTATTCTTCATTTATTTGAAAAAGCACGTTTTTGTCGTGTAATTTCAATAAATTCCATTTAACCCCTTTAGATGAAACCCGTCTCCGGTGGGTCTCTCGTTTTACATCGGCTGAGAATCGACATGTTCTTCCTTTGTTCACTTCGCTCCTTAACGTCGTTTGTGCGTATAACCCAGTCGGATTGGGTTTGCCGTACAACTACCTGCTCTTTAACGACTACCGAGAACCTCTTGTTGAAGTAGCATTGCAGGTTTGCTTTGTCACTTTGTAGAAAAGGCCTGTGATGCTCACTGTATGTTCCGCAATTCTTTGTTTTATTTTTTCATGATTATTTTTTTGGATTTTCCCTTGGCGAAGTTTACGTTATCTTCGCTTCGAAGTTGGTTAGTGGTTCTTGCGGAGTGAAAAAGATGTGTCTTGAACAGTCACTTTATTGATTTTTTGTGTGTGCATGGAGGGCGCTCGCTTTTTCGTTTTCCTACTTTGCAAACTTGACTCTTTTTCTGAAATTCTTCAGCTTACGTTTAAGTCGTGTTTCTTGAGGCACTTCAACAATTGTTTCAGTGGCTCTTGCCTACTAAGTTCCATTCAGGTGCTTATTGTATGTTTGGACAAAGATAGCCAACCACAAGCCGATGAAAGCGGTTACTCAGATAACTATTTTATAAATTATTTGGGAAGAATCCATCGGGAAGAAGATTTTGATTTTATGCTGAAGGTAAGCTGGGTAAAAAAGTTCGCGGAAATTCCTCAATGTTTGTGGGTGGGAGATTGGAAAGGAGTTTTCTTCGCTTTCAGGGTATGACGAGATTGTTAAGTAATCCTCTACAGTCTACCTATCTTCCGAATTCCACCAAGAAAGTCAATTTTCATCAAGAACTCCTGGTTCTGTTATGGAAATGCTGTGAATATAACCAGGTATGTGAGCCTTCCTCATGGTTTCTTGATGCACGAAATATGATTGCTTGTAGAAATTTATGTTCTACGTCCTGAAGACCTCGGACGTTCTCGAGATTCTCGTACCGATTTTGTATCATATTACTGAGTCGAGAAATGATCCAAGTGGGTGGTGTTGACTTGAAGCCAATTTTTGAAAAAAAAACACTTTATCTATTTATGGTTTTACATTTGAAAAATACTTTTTTGCTCCCAAGTCAAAGTATGGGTAATATCGCATTTTACTAGACTCACTTCCTTTCTTTTCCGCTCAAGATGGTACGTATTTTGAGCTCCCTGTCCGTTTTTTGCCCAGAGCACCCCTAAGCTCAGATAATAATTCCACCCCTTTTCTTGGTTTTTCATGCTTTTATGTTGTTTGGATCCCCTTTCGTGGAACAGGTGAGGTTTGAAAAGGGAAGTAAGGGTTCCTGGATTTTTATTTTAATATAAAATTTCAATATAGAAGTACTGTAGAGAGTACATCTTGTGGCAATCAAATGAATAACACTTCAGCACGCGTCGGCCTCATCCATATGGGTGTATTCCTGGTTCTGCTTCTAAGCGGGGAGAGAAATTTCGGTGTACGTCTCAATAAACCGTACATAGCCAAAGCGGCAATCGATATTCAGGCATTCAGTGGAACTCATGCGGACCTACTGATAATTGTAAGTACTTGGCTTGCAAGTTCGAAAATCTGTTCAGTACTGATCCTCTGTAGGTGCGATTCTACTCTTGGACTAAACCGTGTTCTTTAGGTTTTTCACAAGTTGATTACCACGGGAAACCATCGTCTCCAATCTTTATTCGATTGTTTGCTTACTATAATTGTGAATGGTGAGTTGGAAAACTCAGTGTTCATTGCGCTATGTGTACTTACAAGAAAGCACGTCGTTTACCTGATCCCATTAATCAGTCTCTTTTGAGTGTCCCCTTATCTCAAATCGCTTTCTATGGTGGCAGCGAATAAGTTACTTCATTTGGTCGAAGCATTCTCAACTCCTTGGTTCCTATTCTCCTCACCGACTAATCATCATCTAGTGTTTTTCCTTCTTGAGGTCTTCAACAATATCGTGCAGTACCAATTTGATGGTAAGTTTGTTTTTAGAATTGTTGTTTACTTTTGGCTGAATCACAAGATAATTCCTTTTTTGTTACTTTTTTACATGGAAACCTTCATATATTGCAGCAGGTATTTAGGAAACTCAAATCTCATTTACACTATCATCCGTAAACGACAAGTTTTCTATCAGCTGGCTAATCTTTCAACAGACGCGGCTTCAATTTCTAAGTCTCTTTCTGGGAGAAAAGGGAAAGGTAGTCTTATTTTTTGATCAGTTCGATTAGATTTAGATTCTCATAAACCCTTTGTTTCCTTTAACGATCCTGCTCTCGAATTCTCTGAGTTTTGAAAGAAATAATTTCTTTTCTAGCTAGAGATGAAATGGTGGATCAGTTGAAGAGCCCCACGGCTCCAGTCCCTCCTGAGGTCCCTTCAGGTTTGTTAGTTTCCTATAAATGCAGTTTCTATATTTTATTGGTCCCTATTGAGAAGCTTTTTCAAGGGTCTACTGCTGGTCTAGCTGCGACCCCACAAGTGACAAGCATGCCGGAATCTTCTGGAGAAACTGATAGCAAGCCAGCTTCCACTGAAGGTGCAGGATTACTTGATAAGAAAAACTAATTTTACAATTCACTACTTTTTGACTGTTTAAGGGCGGGATGCTCATTTTATGTTATTTATTTCTTTATTTTATTTCGTCTTGCAGATTGGGTGCCCACAGCGGAATGGGCAGATCAGTGGAAATCCAAGTTACCGCTGCAAACAATCATGCGATTGTTGCAAGTTCTGGTACCACAAGTTGAAAAAATTTGCATAGACAAGTAATTTCTTAAATGTTTTTGAAGATCTGTCTGGATCGATCTGTTTGGCCGGAAACTTAACAGTTACTAATTTAGGGGCTTGACTGATGAAACCGAAATTCTGAAGTTCTTGCAGCATGGGACATTAGTGGGGCTTTTGCCAGTTCCGCATCCTATTCTAATTCGGAAATATCAAGCAAACGCTGGCACAAATCATTGGTTCCGCACGTATATGTGGGGTGTAATATATCTGCGGTATGCTAATCTTTCCCTCTTTTGTTTTTTTCAATATTATTTCTTGTTGTCTGTAATCTAAATTGTAGGTCCTTATTTTGTACGAAAGTATGTTTTTTAGTAACACCGATCCACCGATATGGTATGATACTGAAGTGAAGCTGTTCGAGATTCAATAACAACATGAATCTCACACAAATTCATAATAACGAATTGAATGAAAATGAATGATCATCCAGAAATGTTAGTACATATTAGTTATATATTGTCAGCTACTTTTCTCAGTGTTGGATTGTGATATATACTTTAATATTTATTCATCTACTTGGTTTGAATTCGTGTGATGTGCAGTGGTATGAATTGTTGTAAATTTATCATATTATAGTGGAGTTGTCACGGTTTGTGGTCAGTAATACAGCATTCTACTAATTTTCATTTTGGGTGCTTCGGAGTGATTCCCAGCCCAGTAATTTGACTTCGGATGCCATAACTCGATCTTCAGTCATTAGTTCTTCTGTTCTCATTTTCCTCTTCATTTCTCACAGTAAATTTGTACACGGTTCGTTTCTACAGAATAAAGGGCTATCCCGTTTCTAGTGTCCAAGCATAGCAGCAACTTTAATTGAAGGTGCTAAACTTGAGTAAGCAACCAGCGTAATTAAAGCTATTACAAGTTTACGAAAAAGTCATTGCTTCAATCGAGTGGCACTTAGTTTCTTTACTTCTTCGTTTTGAGACGGTTGCTTATTTCTGCACGTTCGAGAGGGAAGGAGGGTCCTTGCGTACAGGTTCTAACGCAAAACGTTAGTGATTACTGTAGGCCACTTAGCTGCTAAGGAGTAATAAGTATATGGTCATATGACAGATATTTGATTGTGAATAGGCCTTGCAGGTAGCGATTTTGCCTTCAATGTATTCTAACCGCCTCGACATCGCTTTTTTGAATAATGATGGGTCTGCCGGTCGTCGAATGTCTTAGCATAGTTCTTAGAAGGGTTTTAAGAACCAGAAATCATTCTGGAGTTAACAACTCCTATTCAAGGTATCATTTTTAGATGTTACTCAATCAAAAACAACGAAATAAATGCGTTATAAAGTCTGCCGTGCTCCTTCGCAAGATTTCGTGCCCCAATGAGAAAGCAGCTACGCTGGCGCTGCAAATAACTTTACGCCTGAGAGTTTTTAAAAAAGGGCTTGCTTTTTCTCTTGTAGCGATGGCGTTTGGAGTTTATTTACCGTAAAGTGCTTTATATCTTTTTCATTTGAACGGTGCAAATACAGAGGTCAAGATCGGTTGCTCTCTATTGTTCTTACTCGTTCATTTCAGTCATTTTCTTCTCGAAACAATGTATTTTTCGTCGTTTCTCCTTTTCCTCTTTGTTCTGGAGTCTTCTTACTCATTCCTATGATCGAAATAGGAATTATCTAACAATTCACATCGAAAGCCGATTTTTAGAAAAAATTCCTTCGTTGAGTGAGCCATAGATCTGCTTTTCTATCCCTCATACTTTCAGATTCCCCCGATATTTCTGACTTTCTCGTGACATTTTCGCGCCAACATTATTTCTACTTACATAGTTGAGTGGTCCAAATAAGTAAAGGGACCACGCAACTCAGCTGTACTTTACGGTCTTTACTTTTGTAAAACTCATGAACTTTTCTGAGTTATACCTAGTAGCTGGTTCATGCGAGCGGACTTCATCATTCCCACTACAAACCAGGCTTTTCCTGGCCTAATTGACTGTAAAAGGAACTTAGTTCAGCGCAAAGGTCCAATATCACATTACGTATGAGCTGTCCTTGCGATCAAAGCCCGCTGCGATTCGACAAAGTTTCCTTGGAATGCAGCCAAACTTGTCGCGCAACTGGAAACAGTGGCATTAATTTTTTTTTCACTGCTGATCGTCCAGTAGGTCCAGTACTTGCCCAAGCGCGTCTGCCTTTTTAGGAGCAAGCGAGTTCACCGCCTATGCCAAATTTGACAAATTGTTCTTGAAATGCTGTCAAACTCATTGCGGAACTTGAAAACAGTTATGTGGGTTCCATTTTTGCTGGTCGTTTAGTAAGGAAATCACCTACTCACAGTCAGCTGTTTCAAGAGTGAGTTGAATGCGTGGCTTATACTGTTTACCTTGATCGGATTGGTCCTTTTGGCACGCTTTCCCCCTTATTCTTGATTAGACGTAACGAATCAAGCGCATAATGTTATTTCTCAACAGGAAATGGTACCTCAGCTCCTCAACTGACCAGGAAGGGGTAGTCTACTTACCGGTGCTAGGGATGTGTAAGATGCCTGCAAGAAACTCAAAATTGACGGAAAAACTTTGAAAAAATGCGTGAAGCATACATGTTGTTCACAAAGTGCGCATCTTATACATGCTGATTCTCTACATCCGGTGACAAAACAGTCAATCTTCTCAAGACTGAACAAATACTCGGCCGGTGTGACGCATGAACCTGGGTATTTATCAACACACCCGACCTTGTACCAGGAACATTTCAAAA